GACGCACCCCTCTCTATTTATCCAGGCTTGGGAGCGGCACAGAAGTCACTGGCTTGTAACCCCTGTGGCTAGATTGGTAGCCTGCAAGGTTTATGTTGCGAAACTCTGCTACTTCTCAGCGTTGTGCCTTGGACACCATTCGTCTGTGAGTATTGTTTTGTTGTCCTCTAGATATTATGAGGAGGAAGCGTACTGTGTTGAGGTTTGTTGGAGTTATTATAGTTATGAGCTTATTATTAGCACTGCTAGCTGTTTTTATTTGGTAGGCTATGTTGAGCAGTGAAACTGTGTTGTGCTAATTTCCGTTTGTGCTTTGTTGCCGTTTACAAAAAGCAAAGTAATTCGTCACTGAATAACAAGAAACGCCACGCCTTGTTTTTATTGGGGAATTACACCCTGAAAGCTGACTGTCTAGCTTTGAAAACAGACTACTCATGGTGAGGGCAGTACAAAAACACAGAAAATCACCCTTATTGTTTAAGGGACAATTAGCCAGTTGGCTAAGACTGGCACATGCACAGTAATATAAGGGAATGTACTGCACATTGCCCCTGTGAAAAACTAAATACTGATAAACATTTTCCTAATGGAGAATACCACTGCAAACAGTGTAAAATAACTGAGTCACTGATCAAACTGAGACAAAAGGACAGTTTATAAAGTTTATAAAACCCTGACTACAGTAGCTGTTGGAAAGTCTCCTGCTGAGGCCACTTATCATCTTGGCTAAAACATTACAATTAGTCAAGATACTGTAGATCAGACATAGGTAAATGACTATAGCTTTATGAAATATGTGTGTTACCAGTGGTTGTCGGCATGCTCCAACAAGCCTACCTGCTGCACACAATGAATAAAAACACAGCTAAGTCACCAAGACAATCAAGGCAAATGTGACACTGAGATTATGCTTTCTGTTGTCCTCAATTCCAATTTGAGCAATCAGCTTCTCGTCTAGTTTGAATCCTGTTTAAATGGCACAGGTAATTAGCAGAGATAGTTAAAGCACTTGCAATTTATGCACATGTGACAGATGTCTTACCATAGCTTTGCACCAGAGGCAGCGCCAGTCCTGCAGCCTCAGCACGCTGCCACATGTCTTATCACACACAGCACACTTGGCACTGACAGGCAGGTTGCCTTCCAGCCACTGATGAGGCATAGCAATCTGTAGATTCAACATAAACACTTTATGCTTTCCACTTTTCTCTTTTGGTTTCAAGTCTCGGATAAATCCATGAACAGCATGTGACAAGGCTGTTTTAAAGCACATTGAAAACACAGTACCAGTAGTGTGTTTTGACATTCCCCCTGAAAAACTTGAGAATGTAATTTCAACCATCAACAGCAAGAAACTCTCCACAGAAAACAAGGCGAACAGGTGTGGTGACCTCTGATACACACAAATGTCTTTCCATATAAAAATACATTTCCATTACAATAATAAATGAACAAATTAATGATTTCACACCCAAACTCACCCCATCCTCATCTTCAATAATATCTTTTCCTATGGAAGCCAGCGTCGTCCATTTACAGTTGTTAGTGGCTCTGACAGCACAGCGTTTGTGGGCTTTGAATTTGCACACTGAAAAACATTCAACACACAGGCCTGTCAGTCTGACACCTGTTAGCAGTTAGCATCACTCAGCAGCTTCACACAGCAGTACAATGTTACACATTGTGACTATACAGACTGAAATGCAATTGTAAAATAAACTAAAATTCATGTGTGTGACTGAAAAGAAGTGTTATTATTGCTCAGGCAGATACTGAGGTCACTCAAGAGGTCAGTTTAAGAAGTTCCCAGGTTAATTGAACTAAAAATGTAAAATTTCTATAGATTTGTTTTCACAAGCTGAAAAACACTGGACACTGATGCATGATTCAGGAAGAGATGCATCCTGAAAAGAACAGTGTTTCAGTGACTCAAACATTAATGAGATGTCAGTGGGGGTAATTAATAACTGCCCCAAGCCTGTTCTGCACTTTATCTGACAGCGTGAAGCAAAGCTTGAAGACTCCACATCACAGGTCTGCTCATCTGCAACCATTAGCAGGACAGCCACAGCCATGCTGAGGCCTGAAGCCTGGACCACACAGGACTAGTCACAAAAGACAGCCTCTGGTGTGGACAGCGATTTACATATGCACACATTAGTGCAAAGATGAACAGGTGAAAGTAAAACCCTGCTACATGTAATCAGCTCCATCACAATCCTTAGTCGCTGTATCTCAGTGCAGGCCCAACACATTAGCAGAGCAGGCAAATAAAGAGAAAGTGGACCACATAGCCGTGTGTTTTTCCTTCCACTCAGTCATTAGCATCACTCACCATCTTGTATATGGCTGCACTACACATGCCATTCGCCTCGTGAATGAGATGTGGTCGCCGTTTTGATGTCATGCTAGGCACAGTACAATATGTACTGATTAGCAGAAGCACTGAGCATCAGTGAAAGATGTAAAAGAATCAGCTACATTAAGAATTTACAGAATATGCATTAAAGAAGCTTTCAATAAGTTCACCAGCTGCCTAGTTAGCCATCCAGTGCAGTGGTACTACCCCATTTACAGCTTCCATAGAGATTCTGACAAAAAAGCTCACATTCACTTTCCTACCAAAGTTAGATGAAAAGAACAGTTACTTTCTGGAGCACGTTACTCTTGTAAACCCACAGCTTGTTATAGTTGGTTCTATTCTTTTGTTTTTTTGTATGGAATAAACAAATGAGATACAACATGTTAATAGTAAGATTTTAATGTGCTGGTGTGTACTGCATGTGTTGTTGCTGTTAGTCTTTATGCTAAACTAAGTTAAGCTAAGCTAAGATAAGCTAACCATTTCCTGACTCCAGCTTCATATTTAACAAACATATGAGTACTCTCATTCTACTCCAAAATACTTTATTATTCCTTATTTATTTGAAAGTTTGTTAATCAGGATAAATAATTATCCTGCTGTGCAGTTCCTCAGCTGGTAGTAACCGTTCCTGTCATGCACATCTGCCTGTCAAGGTTCCCTCCATGTGGATGAGAAGCTACTCGCCGTCACACACATTTCACACCTTTGATTTAATGCATTTAATGCAGGAAACAAGGTTGAAATGTAAATGTACAGTAGCATGAATGTTTCCCATTAAGATGTACAGACAGTAGAGCTTGCTCTCAGCTTTTTCTCCATTAGAGAGGTGGCTCTTAGTAGACTCATAAATAATGTCTGTTCTCGGGAGAACTTTTACCTCTAGTCACCCGCCCTTGCTCCTACACAACACTGGCGTACACACAAACACACAACCCTGTCAGACAGTCTACACAAGATATACAAACTAAGTCAAAGTCATATCCGGGAGCAACGATCGATGTTTCAATCTATTCTACCGCTAAATGCTGTTAGAGAGCATTAGCAGAACATTAAGAGAATTCAGAGGACATGACACCACTGTCTGTTAATGGCCATGCCAAACCTCTGAGCATTCACAAACCAGACTGGAAGAAAACATGGTGTGTATGCCTATGAGTGTGTGTGAGGGTGAAACAGCAACAGAGAGGCAAAAGAGTTGTGTGGTTGTGGCTGTGTAGCACAAATCAATCCCCAAAGACCGCTCTGCACAGGAAATCGAAGGGAAATTTAAGCTGCGTTGATTACTGTGAAACTGTTTGGCTAGCTCCTCTCAACGTTTAATAGAGACACACTCCTGATTTCTTTAGTTTTTTTTCTTCTTCTCTCCCTTTTTCTACCATTCTCACATCTGCGTGTTAGTGAATCTATGTTAAATCTTTACAGAGCTCTATTAACTACCTTGGTAAACCTTGCAAGTCTAAGTTCTGGTGAAGGCTCTTCAGTCTCAATTGCATCTTCTTTCTGTTGGTTAAAAGTGTGTGGAAGCTTATTTAGATCACAAGCGCTGATGCTGCCCCTAATGACCTGGTCATTTTTCTGTCTCCCTCCAGCTCTCTTTCTTTTTGGCCTTCTGCTCTGCATATGAGAAGGTGTCATTGTAGAGGATAATGAGCACTAAGTGGAGAGGCTCTTACACACACTTGCACTGAACCAAGCGTGCACACACATACACACACACAGACTGAGATGTGTGCGCTCATACACATGCGTTCGCTCACAGGGGGAACATTAGCTAAATCAGAATGAGAGGATATGCAGACGGTGCTCATTAAGGTCTCCTGCCTGGCCCTGACACTTGCCAGCAGAAGAAAGCAAAAAGCAGTGTCGCCCCCCCACCTTCCTCTTAACATGCCACTTCACTGTGTCTTCACAGATGAGGTGAGGAGATGTGGCGTCATTCACAGGATCTGTTAATAGCTTATTCCCAGTTTGAATAAAAGAAGATGTGAGATGCTAAAATAAAACTCAAACAGCCTGAGTCAATGTTCATTTAACACGCAGTATGACATCAACGCGTATGGACGTCTGTGCAGCGTTAATGGCAGCTCACCACTAGCTCTTTTCACTCTCTTCAAGCTAACAGTTTGATGTAGGAGACTCATGCTGGCTCTGGTATATTAGTCTGCTCCACTTAGTTGCCCATTTACAAAGATTTTCTCACTTCAGTGACTCATAAGCCCTTACGCAACATATACCCTCCCAGATCACTGACAGTATAGACGTGCCAACTCCCAGGCCTGTAGCTGCAAAAGATCTGTTGCAACACTACTCAATGTTTGATCTTTAAACAGAGAACAGGAGCCAGTAATGACTTGTAGAAATGAGTGGGAGCTGCCTCTATGAAAGAGTGCTGTGTAAGAAAATACCACATGTAAACTTGTTCAAAAACAAATCAGTAAACTAGCATTCTCGTTTGACATAGGCATGTACAGTATAGTGTTGCTGTGTGTTACCTACCTTCACAGGAGAGCCCGTGAGACGTGACCCCAGACAAGCTGTCTTTACAGACGTTGCAAAAAGTGGGCCGTGCATGGGAGCAGGCGTACCAGTTGTGCATCCCTGAGAAATGTTCCACATTAAACTGTGCCGTCTGGCAAAGGAGAGGTGAAAACAGGTTGGCAGCACTGGGATGACAGTCACAGAAAGGCAAACACAGTGCACCACATCATCATGATAATAAAAAAATGCAGTCACACATGTATTACTGTTACTGCCTATTTTCATTGCAACTGCAAGCAGCACTGTTCTAATATTAAAAATCAAGAGGAAAAAACTGTTTCCAGCTGCAGACACAAATGAACACCTTTTCAGATGAATCATTCCTTGTGTGAGGTTTCTCCATTATAATATTTGCTGTGCAGGAGCCTGGTGACGACACTACCTGGGAAACCACCTGGTGTAAGGAGAGCCCTCCAATGGGTTGACATAATTAGTGTGATTCTGCAGCTCCTTGACACTTGGCTACAAATACTGGAAGCTTCTATACACATTAGTGAGTGGAGTGAGCCCACTGACCAGCACTAGCTGCTGTGCTGTGTGCAGTGAACTGTACAAGTGTGGGTGTTGTGTCTGCAGCAGTTGGTGCCGCGCTGGCACAGTTTCATAAGTAGAACTGTAACAGGTGCTATCAAACCTAGAGACTCAGGTTCTACATAAGAAAAGACTGTTATGCTGTTGTGTTGACATCTTGGCAGGGAAGTGTGTGCATTTGTACATGCATATGTGTGTACCCTGTGGTGTGTGAGCTCTGGGGGTGCTGCTGCATTGCAGTGCAGTAAAGGGGTGAGGGATGGGGTCTTATATAAGATTTCCCTCCCAAATCAAAGCCATTAAAATGCGGAGCTGGCTTGTTCCTGCGCTTGACACATCACAACCATGTTAGCACACATCCCAGATGTACACTCCTCTTACATCTGTCTCTGTCAGACTTTAAAATAAAAATTTGGTTTTGTGTAAAAATGTCACGCTGGCACATGAGTTGACAGTCATGAGTCATACAGAATCTCTGTCTCTGACGACATACGGGGCATGGAAAAGGACACTGCCATTATCCCTCCCTGTTTTTGTGTTATTCTGCCACACAGGCTTAAAGATTGGTGTAGATGTTTTGTGATGGTCAGCATGTCTCCTGTTTTTTGTTTTATTGTCTGTGTGTGTCTCCTTTACTGTATTTCTGACTGCTGAGTTGTGCACCTGAGTTGTGCACATGTGCATCCATGTGGTCCTATGCATGTTTGTGTGTGCTCACCATGGGATTCATCTACTTGTGCATAAACAGCTTAGTAGGTCCCTGATGCACTGTATCGGCACAATCATGCCTTGCAACATGCAGATCTTATTCCCACTACTCGAGACACCTGTCAGGGCTCTCTGCTAGTCGTTACAGTCAATAACACTAAGAGCAACAGCCTTACTAGGAATATTTGATAAAACAGATCTTTTGCTTGTGTGGCAGCATCCTAACACAGACGTCTCTCTATTCTTCTTCTTTACCCTCACACATATCAACACACACACAAACTCACGTGGATCTGTCTTTCTGTTGATCTGGAAAGAGGGTCTTACCTCGTAATGCTCTCTTGACTGGACAGACTTCAGCGAACTGATCCAGTCCTCCATCTCTTTCCTGTTCTCGGCACAGAGGATGAGCCTACGGAACGGAGTGATCACCTGAGGGAGAGTGAGGGATACGTGTGCGGGTGAGACAGACACAGTAGGAGAGAGAAATGTTTCCAGTGCTTTCCTCCTCAGCCTGTGGTGTCACTGAGGAGAGGGCGATGTGCTGTCTGTAGGGGAGAGAAAGAATGAGAAGCCTCCTCCCTCTTTCTCTCTCTCTCTCTCTCTCTCTCTCTCATTAACTCTGGCTCACTCATCCCCTGACACCTCCTCGAATTTGTCTTTTCCTTCATTCCAGCATTTTCTCCCTGTCCACCCTCTTCCTCTGGCCCATAGCACTTTAGGCTGCGTTGAGGCAGATATGTGCTGACAGGCGAAGTGCCACAGTAAAGGCTAAGAGCTTCTCTCCTCCCACTGCCTCTCGTCCTCCTCTCCCGGTGTGCGCGTGTGTGGATGTGTGTTTAAAGCACAGCCTCCCTGTAGATAACCCTACAGACCTACAGCAGCCTTTCAACACCTAATCACTTATTTATGCTCCCTCATCTCTTCCTTCTTCCATATCTTTCTAACTCATTAGGTCCTTAAGTTATCTCTGTCCACCTGAGTGGGAGAAGACAGACAGACACACACACACACACACAGGTCTGACATAGCTCACTGATGTTTGATTGCACTGAATGGTCTCATCAGAAAACCTGTATACAGCAATGATCCAGTGCTTCGCTAATGTTGTTTTTATAGCTTCAGGAGGCCTTTTTAATTCTATCACTTACCTCTTTGTTGAGCTGATAACATTACTCTGTGTAGCTAACATATTGTATTAGAGCTGCAACAATAGTTTATCGATAGAAAATTAATTATTAATAACTAATTGCAGTAGTTGTTTTTCAAGACGCAGTGCTGTAAACAGTAATCTCTCAGGCCTGTCTTATAAACGGCATCTCCACTCACCTCAGAGAAAACTGGGATAGGTTGTTAAAAGTATACATGTATGTAGAAACACTCATATCCAGGCGGGCTGGAAACAGAAGGTTAAAAAGGTGAACGGTAAAAGCAGCTGCTCTTTTGTCGCAGAGGAGCTGAACTAAGAGCTCCTCTAAAGTAATACATTTGCTAATTTATTGTATATTCTTTAGTGCTGCCACTGAAGCGTTGTCAATTGCTGAACTGTGACTAGGGACAGACACACTAACTGTTTCAGCTTGACTCAGACGTTACACCTGCTTTTCCCACAGATTAAATTTCAGATACATTTTTCCTCTGCAGCAGGTGACCTCAGGCAGTGATGATTCAAAGGCAGTGGTGTAACCTGGATACAGGTCTATTCCCTCCTCTTCTTTTCTTGTAACTCTAAAGAGGACCACCTTAAAGTGCAAACTGCGCTGCCACCAACAGCTCAGGTCTGTTTACAGTGCATGCTGCACACAGTTTGTTGTGTTTCTTATTGTTCTACAAAGTGTTCATTGATTTTTCCAACCAACTATTCATCATAATCTGAAGCCATATGTTCAGCTGATGTGGAGCTCCATTTTCTTCTTGAATTACACCCATTTTAGCAATAATTGGATAAATGTGCAACTGTGCAGTCCACACATCCTGCAGACTAAAACACACATTCACCACACAAAAGAAAAATGACCTGAAACGGTGAAAGTGTGAAAGAAATTGTTCTTCCCATGAGTCAACAAGCTGTTCTTGCTCATCCCTCTCTCTTTCTGTTCATAGAACTGTATAAACCAGCAGCACCTGAGGCTTTGACAAGGTGTGGAAAACACTGGCTGTGTATGTGTTTGTGTGATTTGTAATATGCACGAAGGTATGTTTATGGCTTACATTCACTGTAACGCTGCTTTTATTTCTGCTAGCCATGTGCTGCCAACATCCAAAGCTTTGGTAGAACAAGCATTATCAAACAGATGTCATGCTCCTGCCCCTCTTGCTTCCTGTCATGCTTTTATTTTCACATTACTTCCTGTTTTGTTTCACCTCAGTTTTGGCCCTTTTATTTAATCATCATTAGTTCACCTGCTCCTTATTGTTTGCACCTGTTTTTTACTTCTATTTAGGCAGCGTCCTCCCACCAGGATGCTGCCAGATTGTTCTAGACCCCAGCTCTGACTCTCCAGCATTTATACCTTGCCTGACTCTCTGTTTCTGACCTTGGAGTACCGTTTTTTGACCACCATGTTTTGTCTATGCCCTCCCAGATTCTGTTCGCCTGCAGTGTACCGACCTTCTGATTTTGTGCCCCTTGACCTCGAGTTTGGATCCCCTGGCTATACCTGTTTACCGGCGCCGACCCTGGACTGTCTTATCGACCTGATTGATATCCTGGACTTTGTGTTAGTTGTTTTGCTTACAACAAGTAAAGAACTTGTCGCTACCTCGGTTCGTCTGGTTTTCTAATTGAGTTCACCACAACCTCAGTTTGGCATCTGTACACGCCAAACCTGACAGCAGATCCTTGTAGAGACAATGACCACCACTAAACTCAATTCAACTCAAACAAATTCAATGCCATACAAGGTAAAACAGAAGCACTGTGAAACATGAGTTATATTTTACTTGTCACATGTTGTCCTCAAATTTAGTTAGCTTCTACACACTGATCAGCCATAACATTATGACCACCTGCCTAATACTGTTTACACAGGAGTCAATGTGGCAGGTGGTCACTCCTGTCACTCTGCAGCTCACTGTGCATCTTCTGTGAATCCATTTGCTTTCACAGTTCTACTGTCAGGAAGAGCACAGACGTGTCTACAATTCAGTGAAAAACTTATGTAAAAGGAGTGAAAACTGTGGTTGTGGGGACGAGTTAGAGAGAATTGTTTAGACAAATTTAACAGCCTCACCACTCTAGGTGTGATATCACTGCTACAGCCCCTGACTCTTTCTCTTCATAGAGACCAATGGACAGTGTTTCTCATTTTCAACCATTTTAACAAAGATTCAAATACATTTTAATCTTCTGAAAAGTACAAATGGAAGTTAAAAGTTTAATCTACAGTAGATCAACCTCATCATCAGTGAGCCGTGGGTTGATCCTTGTCAAAGTCACTCAGATCCTTATACTTTTTCCTGCTTCTAACACATCAACTTTGAGGACTGAATGTTCACTTGCTGCCTAATATACCCAACACATTGACAGGTGCCACTGTAACAGATAGTCAGTGTTATTCAGTTCACCTGTCAGTGGTCATAATGTTATGGCTGATCAGTGTGTATGACATAGTTATATATCTGGGTTGTCCTCTGTCCTCTCACCCCTTGCTATCTTTAACAGTGTGTTCACGCCTGCAGCTATACAGAGACCAGAAGCAGCAGGACGTCAGTTTCAGTGGAAGCTTGTTACATAAGAAGGCACCAGCATCACAGATACAAAGATGAGACCAAAGGTGCAAAAACTGAGAGCTGTGAAATATGAGATACAACAATATGCTACCAAAGAACACACAGCAGTTGGCTACCCAGTCAGAACAAAGACAAGATGTCCAGTGCAGACCAGAACATGTGAATGCACACATAGTGGAGCAGGGTTATATAAAACGATGTGGCTGGTGTGACACAGCCTCCTCCTACCTCTAAGGTCAGAAGTGGAAAGACAGTTTGCAGGTGGTTGACTTAAACCCTCTTGGAAACCACCTTGAAAATTTATTTCTCCTCCACAAGCAAATGCACTGGCAGCACTTCACATGAACATTTTCTTCAGCGTTCATTAGCGTGATATAAATGTTTAACAGCTGACTAAGAGACTGTAATGTAGTAATACTGGCGCATAGTGTTTCTCAACAAGAACGTCTCCTATGAAGACATACACTCAGTTGTCAGTTTATTAGCTACACCTAACTAAATGATCAACCCATGCCTATAGCCTGTGAGAAACATTTACTACATGTGTATTTACTATTTATAAATGCTAAACAGTGGGATTTACAGGAAAGCACTACCACGGCACAGACTGCAGTGATTCCACTAAGATAACCTGATATTCTATGAAATTATGCTGTTGGCACTGAATGTTGTATATGTTAATAGTATAATAGGAAACTGCTTAGTTTTGGTTTATCAAACACTGGTCAAAGGTCAAGGTCAAAGTGTTTATTTGTCATATGCGCAGTTAGGAAATGTGTTTCCCTGTACAATGAAAGTCTTACTTTGCTGTCCACATGACAAAAAAAACAAAAACCTGCTACAGGCATTTATCACTGTCGGATAATAGACAAACTGATTCATTAAGAAAATAATTAGCATCTTAATTGAATGTAGTTTTCATATCCATTATTTTTATTAAGTTGCAGCTAAATAAGACGAAACTGTGGAGTGGGAGCTGATCTGTAGTACCATGAGAACAACCAGGCCCAGGTCAATCACCTTAATCACCCTCGTAATCAACATTTCCAAGATGTCTACTAAGTATCTGGTTATCTGAGCACTGAACAGCATGTCCACAAACAAGGGCACAATAACAATCAACACAAGTCATTTCTCTGCACCATGAGAACAGTGAGTTTTTTGTTCTCTTGTTCGTCCTCGACTGATAATGAAGCTAATGACCTTCTCTCGCTGTTTTTTTCAAGTGGAGACAACAACTCCTACATGAGTGGAAGTGTGTTGTGGGAAAGTGTCCTCAGAGTATGTGTTTGCTGTTCATGTTTTTGTACAACAAAAGTAAATCTCTTGTGCTCTCTCCTCATGCTCACTCGCTCCTCAGAGCAGTGTATGATTTTCTCAGCTGTTAATCATGATACAGGAATGAAAGGATTTGTGTACGTCTGTGTGTTTGTGCGCGCACACGGGCAAAGCGGTCCCTGTGGACACAGCTCATCCTGTGGCAGTGGGTGCATGTATGTGTCTGGGCGAGGGTAGTGATGAGATTGGTTGCCAGGGGAAACAGAAACGGCTGCTTCCAAAAATGGCTCTTGGAATCCCTCAAGTGTGGAAAACCCGTTTTGACGAGTGACCTTTACGACTGCATGTGGGTTTGTTTGTGTAATGACAAGTGACAGAAAGAGGTGGCACTTCAAGGCAGCCATAAGCCTCATTTGGTTTTTGTTTGTGTTGGAAAGGCAGATGAACTGATAATGGGGAGAACCCATCACTGTTCACACACGCAGACACAGGATTAGTGAATGTGGTGCACAGATCCTGTGTCCACTGGGACTTTCAGAACAGTAGCAGAGGAGGTGAGACAAACAATCACGGCTGTTCACTCCCTACGACACACACGCACAGTATCGTCCACAGCTTTGTGTAAAGAACTACACAACAAATCAGAGATGTGCTGCTGATACAAATGCACGCTTCAAAGCCCATCTGAATTTCCATGAGAATCATCTCATGGATTTAAAGTTGACAGTAATAAGTGAGCCAATACAGTGAACGTGAGTAAGTCAGAGAGAGGCCCTGCAGAGTCTGTAATGAGTTTCGGGTCTGGGTTGGGCTGAGCTGTCCCTCACGTGCACTTCAAGGTGCTCCATGCTACAGCGACACTGCTGCATTGTGCACAGGCCCTTTTTCAATACACTAGTGAAATGTGAACACTGGATCATTGTATGCCGACATATAGACATACTCCCACACGTGCATCATGAAAAATACATGCACCCACAGACATGTGCACATGCACAGGTGCTTCATCCATGTTTGCTTAGAAACTTTACCATTAATTATAAACACATGTATTTGTTTTTTATTGCCAGTTGCATTTCTCATTGCTCTGTAACAACGTCTGTCTTTATTGCTGCTGAAAACACATTTTGGCAAATAACTAGTGGCAAGGAATTTATAGTTATCACATGACTGTCTACACAGTACAATGAAGAAAAGCAGTGACAGTGAAGTCATCGCTTTTCTAACTAGTGCAATTTACTTATAGTGACATTTAAGTATTTCCTATGTTGCTGCAAAGGAGTCCTTGGTTGCTGCTCAGTAAAAACACTGGCGTGCACATTAAGCACACTGACAATGACATCCGCAGAGCTCTGAACAAGAATGAGCATGAATCGCTAAACATCTCAGCACCGGCACAATTCAAACCATCCAACCAAATAGCACCAACCTGCATAGAGGAAACCAGCAGCATCACTCATCCTCAGAGGACTGACTGGCGAACAGACAGACACACACTCAGACAGAGACTGGTAATTACTCTGCACTGCCAAAAACAGCTCTGCAGTCCTATCTCTCTCTCCCAACCCGTCTGTCAAATGAAGCCTGGTCTCCCCCTGTCGGTGTGTGTGACTGTGATGCACAGAGTTTTGCGTGTGTGTGTGTGTGTGTGTGTGTGTGTGTGTGTGGCTCCTGCACGTGGACTACCCTTCAGCACGTCATGTTGTCTTTGGTTTTGTGTTTCACTGCTGCTTTCTGGTTGGCCCCGCCTGCCCTGCGAGTGTAGTCAGCGATGGTGTGAAATCACTCCAGGATTTCCTCTGCTGCACTACCTTACCATGCCTTTCCCTTTGCCATCTTATACTGCTCTGCACACATTCCCCATCGGTCTTTTAACATGCTCTGTTTTTGTCAAGCCCTTCTCTGACCTTTGTCTATACCTGCATTTCTTGGCGGTAGTTTGTCCTTACTTCCCTCTTGGTCTCTTTGTCTTCCCTTAGTTCACTCT